AATCACGTCTGTATCAGTCTGTCTCTTCCACTGTGATGCCAGCCCCTTGAAGACGGGACCCAAGGCCTTAGCTATGCATAGGACAATGCCACACACATTCACCCATGGATCCAACAAATGCCTTTTAAATGCCAGTCATGTGCCAGGCACCCTGGCAAATAACCCATCCTGGTGGTGGTGGCCAGCCTCCACGAAGGCCCAGTGATCTTCACCTATTGGACTTCATGCTCTTTGGCCATGTCCTTCCCCGAGTCGGGATTGGTCTACGGGACGGTAGAAAATGGTGGGAGTCAGAGTGGTCCGCTGTGTTGTGTGGTACTAGATCGTCGAGCTATGTGAGATTTCCTCATGGTCTCTTAGATAGCCTGCTCTAAGGGGAGCCAGCTGCTGTACCAGGAAGGTGGTCAAGGTCAAAGGTCCACATGGAAAGGACCCACTGGGCAGAAACTGCCAGCCATCTGAGCTAGCCACCCTGTGAATGGATCCTGCAGGATCTGCCAAGCCTCCACCAGCTGGAATCTGAGGGGTGGCCTCAGAAGAGACGCTGGGCCACAGCTGGACAGCGAGTCATTCCCAAATTCTTGATCTGTAGAGGTCTTGACTATTGTTGCTGTAAACAGTTCAGAGTTGGGATGACTTGCAGACCTACTGTCATGGAGTTCATTAGTGAAGAGATCAAATGAATACAGTTTGTTCATTTAGCCAATACCACCAGGTACTGGGTGCTGAGCTTACTATGGCCAACAAGATACTAGACAAAGTCCTTGCTTTCATGACAGTTATGTTTTAGTAGATAGGGACGCATGCAAATTTTATAATCTTAGGTCATATTTATAAGTGCTAGGAATGAAAGGAAACCAAGCAATTTGGGTATAAAGCAGGGAATTGCAAGTTAGATTATTTTATACTTTCATCTTCATCTCAATTTTACTCTAAAATCTTTTGAAGTTGGTAGTTTATCCCCATTTTACAGATGAGAAAATTGAAGGCCAGAGAAGTGAAATGAAATAGCCATTGTCACACAGTTGGGATTTAGCTCAGAGAGTACAACCCGTGGAGTCCAAAGCCTGTGCTTTCTGCAGTACGCCAGCTCAGCCATTTGGGATGGCAACTTCAGCCTGGGCCTCAGCCTTCACCACATCCTGCACTTGACAATCAACTCGATATTTGTCACTGATTGGTGAGATGAAGGTGTGCAAATGACATTTCGGTAGGAATATCACAGACTAGCCAAGTCTCCACTGTGCCTGGGTTCATGGGAACCTATTCTTCTACTGGACATATCCCCTGAGGTGTCGCCTAAGCTGTAGCTACCCTGGCTGTTTAAAAATGGCAGTGCCCACTCCACCAGCTCCCTGTCTTGGCTTCCTGTCTCTCTGGTCCATTCCATTTGTTCCAGGTGAAAAGAGCTGGGGTTCCTGAAGCCAAGTTCATCGCACGGTTCCCACCTAGCAATCTCCACTCTCCTGATGCTTCTTACCCTTTCTTTTTTGTTATTCTTGTTTTCCTTCCTTTCTTGTGTGCAGACCACTAGATGGAGATATATAAATGAGCCCTGGACACTTAACCATGCCAGGCCCCGTTTCTAAGTGCTTTTCCTGCATGATTTTATTGAATCTTCACAACAACCCTTTGTGGAGGTCCCACGATTTTCCCTCATTGAGGTTAAGGGGCGAGGTCAAACCCACATCATTCTGAATTCAGACTTCATTCACTTGCCAAGATCACACACTGAGTTGGGAGAAGTTAGAAGGTGTGTGAGTTCCAAGGGCATCTTTTTCATTCCTTTGTCCTGGGGCAGAACTGAAGCCAGATTACCTCCAGAGGGTTACCACTAAACATCTTAAATTAGTCCTAGAGAAAAGAGGAAGAAGAAACCCAACACCACCCTGTAAACAGCTCATCACAGCCTGTACAGGATTTGTAGGTTTAAGGTTCTCATTAATGTCTTACTCAAATCCCTCATTGGATAAGTGTTTGGGTACGTACCTGTGCTGTGATAAACTTGGTATAAGTTATCATGGAAGCGCAGACGGGGGCACCAGACAGACAAGCAAGTCAAGGATGCCCGCTAGGTGACGCTAAGCTGAACCCTGAGAGGTGCCAGGCAGCACCTGGGAGGTCCTGACAGATTGTGCCAGGTCAGGGGATGTGGCTGAGTATGGCTTGTTTCAGCATATGGCTGGGGTTTAGGAGAAGTGCCGGGGAGGGGCAAGCAATCAGGATTAAGAGATGGGCAGGGGACAGATCAGTGCCAAGGGAAGGGATTTGCTGTCAATCTGGAAAACAATGCGGGATGATTTAAGGGTTCTGGGAAAGGTACTGATACAATCAGATTTGCATAGTAGTAAGGAGGATAAATGGGAAAGACCAAAGAGTAGGCAAGAGATAAGAAGGTGTATAAGGAAGAGAAAGCAAGGCAGATGAGCTATGTGGGATTTGTAAGTGGACCAGTCAAGACTTGGCAACTGGTCAGGTGTGGGGGCAGTAAAGAAGGAAGCTGAGGCTGACTCACCCAGGTTCCTGTTTTGGGTGCGTGGGCAGATGATGTGATGCCTTGAGATGGGAATCAGGCTGAGAGGAGAGGTACTGATTCTTACTAGCTCCAGGTTTCTTAGGGCAACCCTATTTTAGATGAGCAAATGGAAACTCAAGAAGGTGATGTGATTGGCTCAGACCCCAAAATGGCCAGGTGGGAACTCAAACCTGGATCTTTATATTTCCTGGAATCATTTTGCCCACACCTACACAGATTTTTTTTTGTGAAGAATGTAAGGCATATGCTTTGGGCACGTATAAAGTATGTTTGTGCCATTTCGGGGGATCTGCAATGTAGGGAAGGTTTGCTTCAGCACGTCCACACAAATTAGAGTGTATGTGCCAGAGCAAACCTTCACCTACATCAGCCTGCCATTTTTATATTCACTCATTCACTCAACAAGATAGATTGAGCACCTACTATGTGCTGGGCAGGTGGGGATGCAGTGGCGAACCGAGAGGTGAGAATCCTGCGCACACTGAACCTATAGTCTACTCAGGAAGGCAGGCAACAGACAAATCCACAAATGCGAATTCTGCCAAAGAGATGAGTCGGGAGCAAGAGCGTGGGTGCCATCTGGGGCAGGGTGGTCAAGAAGGGCCCTTCTGTATTTGATCACCATCAGAGCGATGAAGGGAAATGGAATAAAGATCTGGAAAATGAAGTTTCCCAGGAAAGGAAACTTCAAACGCAGACGCCCTGATGCAGGAATAAGCTCAGCTTTTCAGAAATCCCAAGAAAGCATTCCAAGAAAGGAGTCCATGGGGAAGAGAGTGGTTGGAGATGAAGTCAGAGGCAGGGGCCAGATCCTGTAGAACTTATAAGACATGGTCCGTAGTTTGGATTCATTCTAAGAATAATAGGAAAGTCTTAGAAGTTTGAGGCAGGGCCGTGATGATATTGCTTGTTTATTTATTAAAAAAGTACTTTTGATTTCAATATATAGATTCACATGTAGTTGTGTATACAGAGACATCCTGGGTGCCTTTCGCCATTTCCTTCTGATGGTACTATCTTGCCAAACTGCAGTGCAGTATGAAACCGGGATTATCTCTCTGTGGTTCTAATTTGCGTTTTCCTAAAGGCATCATGGCCATGAGGTTGAACATCTTTTCCTGTGCATATTTACCATCTGTATTTCCTCTGTGGCAACATGTTTGTTCACATCTCTGCTCACTTTCTAGTTTTTATTCTCTAACAGCTTTTTCATTGTTCACTTGTGAGAATTCTTTCTATTATTCTAGACACACGTTGTCAGATATGTGACTTGCAAATATCTTCTCCTGGTCTGCAGCTTGCCTTTCCAGGCTAATAGGCTCTTTCATTGAGCCAATGTTTAATTTGGATGAAGGTCTGATTCATCCATTTTTCCTTTTATGGGCTTTAGGTGTACATAGTCCTTTGCCTCCCCCTAGGGAAGGTGGGCCCTCCTTCTATAGTTGCCTTGGAAACTAGAGAAGGATATTGACTTAAGCAACGGCAGGTACATCACATAGCTTCCCTCTCATGATGATGGAGTAAGGAGGATATTGTCCCCTTTTACAGAAGGTACAACTGAGGACCAGAGAAGGGCTAGAACTAACACAAATCTCTGACAATGAGATTGATGATTGTTCTTCTCTACCATCTACCTCAGAATTCACACCAATTACTGCTTGTGGTTGGTGGTTCTGAACGTATGGACCATAGATCCCTGGGAGTCCCTGAGACCTTATCAGGGGATCTGCAAGGTCAAAGCTATTTCTCTAATAATCCTAAAGCATTATTTGCCTTTTGGTGGTATTGGAATTTTAACAGATGGCACAAAAGTACAGAAGAATAAAATTGCTTTAGCATGAATTAAGGCAGTGGTACCAAGCTACATTGGTGACCATTGCTTTCTTCACCTTTCAGGCACTCACGGGGGGAAAAATAGCCAGTTTCACACTACTGTGAGAACAAATGGGAAGTACACCAAAAACACTCCTGCTGCCTACGGAAATAAGAACAGCTATCTTGAAAAAAGTGTTTCTGCAATCATTTGAGTTGCAAGCTAAACTATCTGCACCCCTCCCCCCTGCAATACAAGTTTCGCTCGAGAGACTGACAAACCATAGTTATTCAGGCCTGTCGGGTGTTTGGAAGACATTTTCTTCACAAAGGAATAAAGCGAGCCTGTCGTAACAAGGGAAGCAACTGATAGTGCTTGTCACCAGTGACAATATTTGAGCTTCTGAATGAAAATCAGAATTTTGAGGAAAAAAATTTCATTTGCCATTATGTGCTTGGAGCTTTTTAGTATTTAAAGATGCTTCTGATGACAGCAGTTATGGTAGTATAATAAGTGATTTTTTTTTTTTGTTGGGTGAATAAATGTGCTTATACTTGGAGACGTTGAATAACTCAGTTAACCAATAATTTTCAAAGGACCAATGCTTAATGGTTCAAACCAGCATGGGCTAAAGACACATTCAAAGTGTGAGACAATTCAGTGGGCTTTTTAATGTGAGCAAATAGGACACTGTATTGATACGGTTTCAGATTTCACATTGCAACTAATCTTTAGGAAGCTTTCCCTTACTGTGTTTTGTATCTAAAAAGAATATCCATAATTATCTCCAGAGGCTATTAATAAAGGTACACCTCCCTTTCTCCACTACTAGCTGCATGAGGATGGATGTTCTGCATATATTTCATATAAAGGAACAAGTTGGAATAGATGAAATGCATCAGAAAAGATTGAAGATTCTAGCTGTCATCCACTAAGCCAGGGGTTAAAGAGGTAAAGGTATAAAGCAATGCCAGTCTATACATTAGATGTTTAACAAAGATTTTTTTTGTTTGTTTTAATTTCTACTGTCACAAAAATCGATAGATAGAACCCATATAAACAAAAGCTCTTTTAGGTCCTCAATAATGGAAGGGGAACAAAATGTTGGAGAATTCTTTGCTTAAGAGGTGAAGTCTCCTATTAGCCACTGGGACCACGTGAGGCATTAGCATCCCTTTTCAGATTTTCATCTCACCCCAGGCTTCCATATGACCCTGAGGTTAAGGATGGCTGGGTGCAGCCTCGGAGGTTCTGAGAATGGCACATGCCCTTCTCATCTCCATTTTCTCCTCTCCTTCGTAATGGAAAGAACATGGGCTTTGAAGGAAGCAGATCTTAGTCTCAGTCTCAGCCCTGCTTTTAGCCAGTAAGAGAACTCCAGGCAGGACTCTTGGTCCTCTGGTCTCTTGTCTATAACGTAAGAAATAAAAATGTCTGTCCTTCCTTACCAGGATTGTCTTGAGGATTAAATAGCATCATGGAGATAAATCTAAGTGCTTATGCATGTAAGTTATAACCATTTCCCAACAAAGAATGTTCATATACACGTATGGCCACTCATTGAATAAACATTGTCCAAAAACATGATCCAATGGTCTTGAAGGTGAAAACAAATAGTCTGCAGGTTCGACCTGCAAGAAGCTCTCAGCCCAGGGAGAAAGACCAGCATAGCAATTGCATGCAGTGGGATGCGGCGGGTCTTTGAAACCTTTGCCAATGTTTCCCCCAAGCACCCTCCTGCCTCTGGCTGCCTTACCACCCTTTCTTTTCAGTACCAGGCCATGTTGCCTTCAGGCCTCAGTGAAGAGATGAGGCAGAAGAATGGAGGAGAGGGGTTTGAGTGGTGTTGTTAAAGTCTCTCTCTGGGGAGACTCGAGGCTTGGAAATGACAAGATGAGACCGAGTAAAGCTCCTGCTCTGAGACCAGAAAAGAGTCTTTAGGGCCACCCTAAAGGGGAAGTGCCAACAGGACTGGTGGGGCCCAAGAGGAGGGGTCCTGACCTGGAGGAACCAGGCAGGGAAGAGATATGGAGAGGCGACATTCAGAGCCACCTGCCCCTGTGCTGTGCTCTGATAACCAGCAGAAATGGTGCTGTGTGTCCACAGGCCTCGGTCAGTCACGTTTCGATGAATTGCGTATAAACAACCTCTTTAATGGCCTAAGTCCCTGAGTACCGTAAAGGGTAGAAGGAGAAGCTTCGCAGGCTTATGCTTGGGTATTATCACCGAATGGAATCAGCCAGACGGATACACGCTCCCAATAGGAAGCAGAGCAGGGAGCAGCAGGAGGGCACAGGAAGAAGCCACTCATTCTCCCAGGCTTTCCTGGGAAGGAGCAGGTGGGAAGCAGAGGTCAGGAAGGCTTCAGAGAAAAGGTAACATTTGCACAGTGCCGGGCCTCTGAAGGTGAGCCATGATCATCAGCTTTGTCCAGTCCCGGAGGAAGAGGAGGCTGCTTCTGGGGAAAGAAGAACATGTGGAGAAGGTGCCATTAAGAACCTGAGCTAGGGCAGACACTGGAAGACACCAGCTTGAGCATGGTTCTTTTCGGAGCACAGTGCCCAATTTACACACCCTCCCCCACCAAAGAGTGATTGATGATCCCTGTGTAAGGTTCTGAGGATGCGTGAGGGGGGACACAGCAGCAGAAGTGTAAAAATTTGACTTTTCAAATATACGTTAGGCACTCTGCCCAGCCTTTGTATGTATTAGCCCATTTCATTCCAGATGGTGGTATTTTAATCCCCAATGGACAGATAAGAAAACTGAGGCTTAAGTTCTTACAGCTTGTTAAATGGTAGAAACAAGATTTGAACCCATAATTATATCCTACCTTGATTTTCAGCTTGAATGGCTTAGAATTTAGTTGGGTAGTTAAGGAATAAATGCTTGAAAAGCTAAATAATAATGCAAAAGGAAGTTCCCACTTGTCTGGGAGAGGCACCTTGGCTGTTCCATCAGGGGTACCTGTTTGATTCTGTAGGCCAGCCCTGCTCATCTACCTCACACTTGTACCCTGAGTCTGTCCACTCTTACATCTCCACCCACCAGCATCCCCAGCCACCCCAACCTTGGTGCCTGAGTATAAGGTTTCAACAGAAGAAACTTGGTCCTGATAGTCGTGCTCCTGGCTGTCAAAGAGTTCACAGATTGCCACTCAAGCTCCACTTCTTCTGCTTAACAATAACAATAGAACCTCTGGGTTTGGGCCAACCTTGTAGCTGCATGTGGTCACGTGACTAGGTTCAGACCAATGGAATCTAATAGAAAGGGACATGAATCACTTTTTCCTCCAGCCCTGAAAGGGAAAGTGTGTGACCTCACCGTACATCCTTCCACTGGAAAGAATGGGAACATCACAGCGAGCTGCCTTGGACCACGCAGATGAGGCAACTCAACAGGGGATGGCAGGTCAGGTGACTGGAGCAGAGCTGCCCAACCAACTCCACGTTTCACATGGAAAGAAGTGAACTTCTATTTTGTCTTTGGAGTTTCATTATACACACGTACACACACACACACACACACACACTAATAGGAAGAAAACCAGTGAACAAACCATAGAGAATATAAGTACAAGTTATAATAGAGCAACAAAAGAAACAATTCGTGAGCATACAGTGGAGGAGGGTTGTTCTCACTCATAGCTATCAGTCAAGGAAGGCTTCTCTGAGAAGGGGAGGCACCCTGGGACGGGCCAGCTGTGTAGGACTCAGGGGAAATTCGAGGTGTTGAAAAGAGCATGTAGGATTCTGTAGCCATAGAGAATCTGGTCCCCGATGGACCCCCAACAAGGGCCCTGTGAGCAGAGCCCTTCTGTACCAAATCTTCCATCAGGCCTCAAATTTACAATCCACTCATCTACCCATGGATGCTGCATCCTGGGCCCTGGGAACCTGGGATTTAAAAAGTACAAATGAGTTCCAGATAGCTCTGGAAAGGATGGATCCGGGGTTTCCAGAGAGATCTGAGGACAGAGGGACACCTTTCAAGAAGGATGCCCCAGACTCAAGCCAGAGAGGCTGAATCTGCAATTGAGTCCCAATAGCAAGTGTGGGCCCTGGGAAGGGGAGCCTGCTCTGGGGGTGGGGACACGAGAAGCCCAGGAATGGGCTAGGAGGTGAGGAGCCAGAGAGTTGTGGAAAGAGAGGCTCCAAGGGTTCAGATGTGACCTGGTTGGTTGCAAGGGACACCTCTTATTGGGGACTTGATGTAGCCTGTGGCCTCCAGTTCACCAGCATTTAAAAATGTGTGACAGGCACAGAGGCAAATGCTGTCCCACAGACTGTCACCTAACCCTCACGACCTGCGTTCACGATGTGGGTATTATCTCCATTTTACAAATGAAGACTCTGAGGCTCAGAGAGGACAAGATAGTTGTCCAAAGTTGCCAAGTGGGTAAAGCTGGGCTAATGGGGGAGTCAGGGCTTGTCTGGGCCTCCTTACCCGCCACCCAAGGCTACACAGGGAACAGGATGCATATGACCTGTCCAGAGGACCTCTTAAGCTTGGCTTGGCAACCAAAGGTAGCCCACAGTGGTATTTGGTTTGGCTGGCCAGTGATTTTTTTAAAAAAGTCAAATGAATTTGAATGTCTTTAGTTAGGGAAGGGACTTTGTCACTGGTTGCGATCTCTTCTTTCATTTATTCCCTACCTGTCCTCGGATGGCATTTGAGTTTTAACCAGGACTCCAAAGAAAAACTTTCTTTAGCACCGGAAGCCAGCTGAGGAAACACTCCCAAGCCTTTCTCTAATACCTTATTGATCCCTGAACATGACTACAGGGACAAATAAATCAGGGACTTGGTGCCCAAACATTTGTCTGACAAGCTAGGTGTGTAACATATCTGAAACACACAAGCCTTTCTCCTATCAGGGAGGGTGACACATGTTAGAAAGGACCGGGCTTCACGAACTAGCCATGATATGTCCACTGCCAGCCCGCTAAGAAAGACTGAACTGGGGATCCTCTCTGGGAGCTCCTCAGGAGAGCGGCAGTGGGTTTGTCGGAGCTGGAGCTCAGCACAGAGGCCGCGTCCCCACCAGGTGCAGGTGAGCCACATAAGGCTCGAGGGAGCACGTGGAGCCAGTGTGAGTTGCTTGACTCCTTCCTGCATTTTCTCAAGCCAGTCCAGGACAGGTGAGCTCTTACTTTCCGCTCTCAGTTTCCCACCCCACACCTGCCCTCTCTGGTATGGAGTTGAACCAGAGACCACCATCAAGCTCACGGTTTCCCTTGCAAAGTATTGGCCTCCACACGCTGGAAGCTTCTGGAAACACGACATGCAGACCCCCATCTTGCTACCTAGGGTAGCAGCCCTCTAGTTCACAGGATAGTTGAAGGACTTTGAGTCCTGTGGTTCCCAGTGGCCATTGAAAAGGAAGCCATTTTCCTGAAGTCAAAATAATCATGTTTTAAGATGAAAGCAACTATGTTAAAAAAGTTAATAAAAAAAAAAGATAAATGTAACTTGTTCACGGCAGGTTTATCACCGCAGGTTTAGTGAAGAAAAACTACTATCAGGGGCTTTATGTTCCATGAATGTCTTCAAAATAAAAATTTAGAAAAAGAAAAAGGGTGAGATTGTGGCAGAGTCACGAAAAGAGCAAGCTGCCCTCGCAAGAGTCCGGGCTGACAAGGCAGGAAAGGGCGCACCCTCACCCCAAACTCACCCCTGGGGAAATAATTTATGTTCTAATGAAACAGGCAGGAGGGGGCAGGGCTCCCCGGCTTATGAAATTGTGTGTCATTCAGACAATGACAGCAACAGAACGTGATTTGCCCAGGGTCATGGTCTCATTGCCACTGACTAAGTGGTTTCTGAACATTATTGTTTTGTAAAGCCTTCAACCTGTTTCCCTGTGTCTGTTTTGAATTTCCTCTTCCCTAACGTGTATTTATGTCCCGCTTGTTACGAGCTGACAAGAACAGTCGCTGGCTTTACCTGGTTCCTCTCAGAGCCTGCTGTCATTCACTGACCTCCTCAAGGTTCAATGCCATCAAACCAGCCTGTCTTATTATAAAGATGAAGGAAGGAGAGAGGTAGTGGCTTTAGGCTTTATTGAAAAGCAAACCAACCAACCAGCAAAACAGGTGATTTGGTCCTGAGTACGTGGAAGAAGTTTCGTAAAGCCATTCATTTGTCAATTTGTTCATTCCAAAAGAATCTATTAAGAGGCGACTGTGAGTCGAGCTGTATGCCGGCAGCAAGAGCTAAACGAGAACAGGATGTTGTTCCTTTCCCTCAAGAAACTCATAGTCTAGTGGAACTGGTAGAGAAATCAACACCCCAGGTATTCCCAAGAGAGGTCAGTGTCATAAACTTGACTGTCACTGTTGAAAAGGACCACAGGTTGAGTCTACAAAGAAGAGGAAGGCATGGTCTCTGCTGACTTGATTTGATTGAGGGCATCAGGATGTTTTGCACAGGGACTCTTTAAAGACAAAGCAGCGCTTTCAAGGGATAGTCCCATTTACTCAGAGATCACCAAAGACCTCCGACTATGGCTCTAGGGATGTGTTTTGTGCTTGAGTATTTTATCACTGCTCAGAGGTAGGAGCATAGGTGAAGAACATAGCCTCATTAGCAGGAGACACTTCTATAGTTCCTAGCTGTTAGAAAGACCCCCCCACACACACACACACACACCCCGCATGTCCTGCACATACAACGGTGGCAGTCTTGGAATCATGTCCTTGGAAGATGATCAAGAAGAGGGGTTGGTTTGGGTTGGTGCTGTCCCAAAGCCTAAAGGCTAGGGACCCTGGTGGCAAACTGATGACACCCAGGCTGTCACTCTCCTCACCAGCATCCCTGGAAGACACTACTAACTGATCCGACCACATGATCTTGACTTGCTGAGTCTGAGAGTAGAAAGGCCTATTTTCTCAATTCTTCTATGTGTGTTACACAGTAGTCCTAGTACAGATCATCAAGAGAGAAGCCATCGATGACATCCAGCACCTTAGGGTGTCGGGGATTGATTCTCTGAGCCCCCCAAAGGCAATCTGACCATCGTCCTTAGTGGATAACCCTAAGGACCAACTATCTATCCTAGCAGGTTTGCTAAGCAAGATTTTTTGCCACTCTACGAAGAATTCCCAGGGGAAACAAGGCCAGTCTTAAAACAATTAAAATAAAAAGTGTTCTACCAGGGGCTTCTGGAGAGTCACTGGAATCTCAAGGTGGAACAGGAAGACACAAAAGGAAATTGGGAGTCACAGTCCATTTAGAATTCTGAGATGCCTCAGGATTCCTGCCTCTGCTGCATACTGGCTGTAGGAGCCTCCCACAAGCCACAGAGTGTGATTTGGTTGTGTTATATGGCAAAGGGGAGAGGCTTTTGCAGATGCTTCCGATGAGCTTTGAGTTAACCAGGCAATTATCCTGAGTGGGCCTGACCTAGTTGGGCAAACCCTATAAAGGGAAGGAAGTGTTTGAAGAAACTAATTTCCATGTCTGGAGAGGGCCCCATGGCAGGGACTGTGGTGGTCTCTGAGCACTGAACCCGAAAACTCCGAGGAACTGAATTGGGCCAATAACTGGCAAGCTTGGAAGAGGATCCATCCAATCCTCAGATGAGATGCTGCCCAGGCCAACTTTTGACTTCAGCTTTTTAGGTCTCTGAGCAGAGATATCTAGCAGAGCCCAGACGGCAAGCCCACAAAAGCTGCAAGACGATAAACAGGCATTGTTGAAAACTGCTACGTTGTGGTGCAGAGCAACAGAAAACAGAAACAGGCTGTGTCTATTTTAGGCTGTGACATTGATTGTAAGGCATGCTATTGACTTAACATTTGGGGAAACAACAACCAGAGCATTAAATATATCAATTATAAAGCACTCTGATTTTTAACAATAATACAATGGAAAATATCATCTTGACATTGAAGAAACACCAGTTTTATTACATTTGTGAAGTGCCTAGAAATTTCCCAAAGAAAAACTGTCCTCCTGAGAATCCTGTCAGAGTCGAGAGGGGAGGTGTCATGCTGACGAAGCTGAGATGCAGTGGACTTAGACGACTTGTGCAAGGTCACAAGACAGAGCAGATCAGAACCCAGGGGCTCTGCTCAATCCACCTCAGCTAGCGCTTTGCCAGCATCCCTCATCCTAGGAGGTGAAGCGGTGCCACCAAGCGCCTGGCACAAGAGGCAGAGATGCCATATGAGGCCCAAGAGAAGATGCTCTCAGGACTGTTTCTGTTCTATAAAAGCTGCAGTTACAATCCCAACCCTTCTATGTTGTTCAAATCTCTTCCCAGCTTTCCTGAGATACTTGGGCAAGTCTTTCTTCATTACACTTGTATTATTTATAAAGTCATGATCCATGTGGTTCAGTTCTGAAGAAAGATAGTTACATGAAACGTATTTGATACGGTATATGAAATTTTGATATGAAAGGTCAAGATAGTTTGCAATCAGACAGTACGAACAGTTTTCCTCTCCTAACACCCACTGACCCCAGATACTGCAATTCCACCTTCCTAATAATCACCTGGCGAAAAGCTCCCCAAGCCCACCCCGCCCTCAGGAATCTTGCTACCTTTATCTGCCTTCCTTCTCCATTTCCCCATAATCAATATCCATTACAAAAGCCCCCAAAACTGAACTAGCAAGACAAATTCCTCCTTGGAGGGTGAAGGAGGAGAGATCTAAATACTTGGAGCTGGAATCTTCTTCGAACGAAGAACCCACAGGAAGAATGTCAGGAAGAACACGTGGGAACACTCGCATTCCAATCATTATCTACTCCCACAATGTCACCATAAAATCGACATAAGTTCACCATCTAATTTTGAAATTGTGGCCAAGGCCATGGATATTAGGAACCGCGCTTCACCCAGGCTTGTTCTCAGTCTTTCTGGGGACAACACCTGTTAAATGATCTAAGAGAGACTCAGATCTTGTTATCCAAACTAAGCCTGCAAGTGGGCAGCAAGGTTGGGGGCGGGTGTGGCTCCTACTTCCTCTTGGGCCATTCAGCCAGAAGCAGCCTGTGGACAGCACAAGCACAAGGGGCAGCTGCGGAGGGGGAGGCTGCAGAAGGCACAGGGAAGAGTTGTCTGGGGGCGCTGGCTCCCACCTTACCTCTCCCGCTGTTCCTGAGCGCTAGCTGTGGCATTCGGCCGGGAAGTTCAGAAAGGAGCCAGGGAGCCTGAAAGGCCTTTGTAGAGAGAGGCCTCCAGAGACTCGTGGAGACCAGTGCTCAAGGAGGCTGCTGATAATGTCAGAACTGGAGTCCAGGTTGTTCCAGGGTAGAGGTTCTCCCCAGGCTGGAGGGCAAGGACTGTCCCACAGCAAGGAGCTCCTTCCACAAAGAAGGGCATCTGAAGCATTCCTGAGAAACTCCAGTCTTCAGCAGAAACACACCTTACCAGGCTGAGGCGGCTTAGTCCAGCAGCTTGGTCTACACCAAGAACAGTTAAGAACTGGGAGAGATTCCAGATGGCAGCAGAGTTGCCAAAATAGATTTCACGGTGTCTACCCACTAAGCTCACAGCCATTATTATTCTAGGCTGTTGCTACCACTTATAGAAGCCAGTGTATGCCAGGTCCTTTGGGTGCACTTCCTTTTCTTTCTTCTTCACATCAACCCTGTAAAGTGCCCCTTTAACAGATGAGGAAACAAAGCCACAGCAAAAACTTTTTGAAACTCACCTAGCTATTAAATCACAGAGCAAGGATTCTGACTCTGAACCCGAGTCTCCTTCTGTGTTGGTGGTTGTGTTTGGAGTTCTCTGTCTTTCAGATTTGTCTATTGAGCAATGCCTTATTATGGTAAATCTCATCCATATTAAAGTCCTACAGACCTGCCACTCCGATGGTGTATCTTAAGGAAGCTGGATGCTCACTTCCTGTCTCCCCTTGTCCAATGGTCAACATGGGCTAGCTGTGAACCTCAGCACCACTGACCACAAGTGTCTCCAAATCTTCAGTTCTGAACTGAACACGAACCCAATTCAGGCCAGATCTCCTGCTAATTGGTTTTTAAGGCCATTTTCAGCCCTCCCCCTCTTTTAGGATGTGGTAGTAGATCTCAACTTCTGCAGCTTGTCCTTGGATAAACCCTAGCTTGGGTTTGGACACACCCCCTAGCTGCCTTGGGTGCCACCCCTTGGTGAGGCTTTGGCAGTTCAGCCCCACCTTCTCAGGGGAGGGCTCATTGAGAAAGTGCTGTGCACTCTTTTCCTGCCCACCTCTGACCTTGGACTGCCCCTACAATGCTGCTTTGAACAGGCACTTCCAGCTGTTGACTAGGTTCCAGCTTCCAGCACAATCCCAACTCCTATTCTTGTAGGAATCTGATAGCAACCACCACTCCCTCTCTGCCGAGGACCTGACCTTGGCTTTTCAGTTTCAAAGGTACCATGAGGTAATATAAAGGAAAATTTGTAGACTGCATTTTTTTCTTTAGTTTTTGATGTTTTTTTTTTCCTTGAATTGTGACATGCACATAGATAAGGGCATAAATCATAAGTGCTGGTGCCCTTATGAACCAGGTCAGGGTAAACACACCTTCTGCATGTCTCAGTCAAGTGGAATCTTAAGATCCCCCATTTGTCTGCTGTGCTCCTTCCCAAAGGTGGCCCCTCTCCTGATTTCTAACACCTTTGGTTAGTTTTTGAATTATACACAAATGGAAACACACAAAATTCTTGAAATAAATTTTTAAAAATTTTATTATTGTGGCAAGTATGCTTAATATGAAAGGGAGCATTTAGCCACTTTCAGCATACGATTCAATGGCATTAGGTGCGTTCATGATGTTGTGTGAGCCGTCTCTCTCCATGACGCCTTCCATCTTGGACACTGGAACTCTGTACCCACCAAGCCATTATCTCGTCCTCTCTCTCCCTCCAACCCCTGCAGCCTCCGTTCCATTTTTTGTCTGTCTGGTTTTGACTACTTTTACCATACGAGTGGAATCTTATAATATTCGTCTTTTTGTGATTGGTTTATTTCACCTAGCATAATGTGTTCAAGGTTCATCCATGTTGTAGCATATATCAGAATTTCCTTCTTTTTAAAATTAATAGCAACCCATTGTGCCAACATATCACATTTCATTTATCCATTCACCTGTCAATGGGTATTCAGTTTGCTTCCCTGTTTTGACAATTGGGAATCATGCTGAAATAAACACAGATATGTAAATATATCTTTGAGAACTTGCATTCAGTTCTTTGGGATGTATATTCAGACATGAAACTGTTGCATCATATGATAATTCTGTTAATTTTTTTGAAAAATAAACCCTCACATAAATGGTCAAATTGTCAAAGGGAGTCAAGACAATTCAATGAAGTTCTACAAATGTGTTGAAGTGACTTTTGACAAAGGTACCAGGACCATTCAATGGGGAAAGGACTGTCTTTTCAACAAATGGTGCTGGGAAAATGGGATATTCACAAGCAAAAGAATGAAGTTGAACCCTTACCTAATTCCACATTTAAAAAAAAATTCAAGTCAGGTTTGTTGACACAGCCAATGGACACATGCCTGTAATCTCAGTTACTCTGGAGGTTGATGTGGGAGGATTGCAAATTCAAGGTTAACTTGGGAAACTTAGCAAGACTGTCTCAAAATTAAAAGGGTTGGGGGTGTAGCTCAGTGGTAGAGCACTTGCCTAGGATGAGTGAGGCTCTGGATTCAATCCCCAGTACTGCAAAAAGCAAAACAGAGAAAGAGAGATAGAGAATATTAACTCAAAGTGGATCAAATATCTATCCATAAGACTAAAAGGTGCAAAATCCTTAGAAGTAGAAGAAAACATAGGACAAAAGTCTCAAAATATTGGATTTGATAGGGATTTCTTGAATATGATACCGAAGGCACAGGCTACAAAGGGTCAGGGGGTAGGCAAATTGGACTTGATGAAAATTAAAATACTTTGTGCATCAAAAGACAATATGAAGAGTCTGAAGGCAATCCCCAAATGGGAGAAAGTATTTGCAAATCACATATCCAATGAGGATCAATATCCAGAATATATAGAGAACCTTGAAAGCTCAACAGCAAAATACCCCTATTAGAAGCTGGGCAAAGGACTTAAATAGCCTTTTCTCCAAAAAAATATACACAGCCAATAGACACATGAAAAGGTGCTCAACATCACTGATCATTAAAGAAATGCAAGTCAAAATTTCAAGGAAACACTACATGACACTGATTAGGATGTCTGCTATCGCACCTGCACATGAACACAGAGAATGACTAGTGTTGAAGAGAATGTGAAGAAACGGGTCCACTGTTGGTGGAAATGCAAACTGCAGTTGCCGTGGAAAGCAATACTACATATTCTTGTGTCAGATTTATTTTAATTGAGCTCATGAGATTCATGAGTGTGGCTTCGTTTAGCTCTAGATAGTTCATTCTCATTGCTGTATTGTGTTCTATCATATGAATGTATCCTATGCCGTCATTCATTTCTGTATCCACTTTAGGATCTAGATAGATTCAGATGTGATATTATGTGTCACACACATATGCAAATATAAAAAAGTTATGTGCATATACTTTTTTAATAAACATTTAAACTTATATACAAAAATAGTATAATGAACTTAATGTACCTGTTGACCAGCCTCAACAATTATAAGTATGTGACCAATCTCATTTCTGCAACAGTCCAACAAATGCTGCAACAAATGCTGACATCATATAATTTATCACTAAATATTTCAGTATACATCTTAATATAAGGCCTCTTTTTAAAAAAACACAAGATCATTATCTCATCTAGAAAAGTATGCCATTTCTTAATATAATGAAATAGCTAGTCTTCATCCACATTTCAATTGTCATACATTTTCTGGATTTTTTCTGATCGTATCCCCATGGCATTGTTAAATGTGTTCCCTTGCCCCTTGTGTAAGGTCCTTGCTTAGCATCTGGACGGCCATCTTAAGTGACAGCTGCCATTTTAAGAAAAATTTTGCTTTCCCACCCAAGGGGCTTTCTGAGAAAGGCTGACCACCCCCTCATTCCAACCCAACCCTTAACCTCCCGCATTAGGACCCACCCAGCTCTAATCCCTGAGCCTGCCCCATAAAAGTCCCCATCCCCAAGCCTGTTTTGCTTCTCTCCATCTATGGAGAGATGGCCTTTATTTGTCAGCTCTGACTAATAAGCTTTCGTGTGTATCTCTGCCTGGTCTCAGTCTTTCATTTCTTGCTCGCCCTTCTCTCGGTTCCTCGCTTTCTTTCATTGGTGCCGAAAACCAGGATCGGGTTCCCCAGTATGCCCCCTCGCCTCTTTGAGGGTCACTGAGCATTGCTGGACCCGATCCAGATTCATCATGGGACCAGGCCCTCCATTCTGCACCCATCACTGGTCATTTTAGGTAAGACACTTATCTCCAGCCCACTTAAATGACCTACGGGTCCTGGGAAGTGACTGTCATGGATTGTCCAGCCCTCCCAGGGTTTCTGTGTGGTTGGGGACACCCCTAGCCACAGCTTTCAAAGCTATGGCTGATCCCTACTGCTGACCAGTTCTATAGGTGGTCTTTTATTTGGGTCCTGGGTTTTGAGAAAAACCGCCGAGGGCGATTAGGAGTTGTTCCTGGTGAGACCTCTCGGCTGTCAATTATGAAAAGCTCCAGGAAGTCATCCAAGATAAAAATGAAACCCTTCAGCATTTTTAGATCGCCTGACCAAGGCTGTATTACAATATACTGATCTGGACCCTGAGACTCCAGATGGGAGACAACTACTAATGATCTACTTTTTCTCCCAGAGATTCCCCAATATTAAGGCTAAACTAAGGTGCCTTGAGAAGGGACCCCTAACTCCCCAAGGTGAGGTTCTGGGAGTGGCCTTTAAGGTGTATAACAGGACAGATGAGAAGTGTCCCCCGGAAGCAGAAACATCAGATGCTGAGACTGGGGTTGTGGCTCAGTGGTGGAATGCTTGCCAAGCATGCATGAGGCTTTGGGTTCGATCCTCAGCAACACATAAATGTAAAATAAAAATGTTGTGTCCGCCTAAAACTAAAAAATTTAAAAAATCAATATCAGATGCTCACTCAAGCCATTCGTCCGGCCTCAGCCCCTGGTTCCACTGGCCTATGGAAGGGTCCCTCGGGACCACTGGGACCCTGTTTGAAATGGGGTCAGATGGGTCACTGGGCTTACATGTCCTAAGCCTTGCAAGCTTCTGGGCCCTTATCCTTAATGCCATCAGGAGGGACACTGGGCCATTGACTGTCCCCCAGCCCCAGGCTATCCAGCCCTTCTGGTCCCCCTTTCCAAGTCTTAGGACTGGCTGCCGAGGACTGATGAGGTCCAGGTCCCCATCACCCAGCCACTACCATCACTCCGCGGGAACCCAGGGTAACTCTGCGTATTTCAGGGAGGCCTGTCTCCTTCCTCCTAGACCCAGGGGCTTCATATTCAGCCCTCAAGGAGTTCTGGGGGCCTACCACTTGTTCTATGACCTCTATT